AAACTCCTGGCTTCAAGCGATCCTCCCTGCCCCCCAGCCTTGGTCTCTACCATTTTAAGTGTGACACTTATTTTTTTTTCAATGACTTAATAAGTTAACTATCATGCACCTTACTATCTAGGGGATATTTTCCTTTCATGATACAGTCATAGAGTAATACAATGTTATACAAGAATTCCTTCTTTGGTCTAAAGTCCTCAGATTGCTAAGGAGAAAACAGGCCTGGAAAGGTTAAACGGTTAGACCAAGGTTACATAGCTAATTCGCTGCAGCTGGAAGCCAAGTATACCTACTTTAAGCTGAAGTAGACGATTTTCAGTGAGTCTAATATGGCTGTAGTGATTTAATAGAAACCCTTGTGTTTTGCTTTTCTCCCTTCTGTTTCTTAGAGTTGGAAAGGCTCCTGGGTAAATTTGGACAGGATGCACAAAGAATAGAAGATTCTGTGTTGATTGGATGCTCTGAGCAGCAGGAGGCATGGTTTGCTCTGGATCTAGGTCTGGATAGCTCGTTTTCCATAAGTGGTACATAACATTATTCCTAATGGGTACTTCCCAGTGGTCTTCAGAATTTGGGATTTCACGTAATGGTAAAATTTAAAGGAAAATTTGGGGAATACGAAAGGCTATCAACTTTCTATTTTTTTAAAAAGGACATTAAAAATACTGTCATCTGCTATTATCATTTAAATGAAAATATTTAGAGATTTAGCAATGTTTATGTTGTATTATGATTTTTTTTGTGTTATGTTATATTATGAACAAATAAATATGAGCCAGATTGGCCAGGCTGGTCTTGAACTCCTGACTTCGTGATCCACCTGCCTTGGCCTCCCAAAGTGCTGGGATTACAGGCGTGAGCCACTGCGCCCGGCCAGGTGCTGCTCCCTGTGCTAGAGATAAGGAGTTAATGGTATCTACTTTGGGATCTAGATGTTTGAAATAAGGGTACATTGAAGGTAAAATTTGTTCTTTATCTTCCCTAGATTGAATGAGGGTCACTGAAGATACAGTGTTTACTCTTTGTCTGCTGTGAAAAAGTCTGTTCCCATCTCTAGGTATTTTGTGGTTGATGTTTTATCACTGTACTTGTTTTCCTTTCACTCCACTGCATGTAAATTCTTGCCTCACAGTGTAATATTGGCAGAGTACCTTGAAGGTCAATTCAGTAAATATTTATTACCCTTGAAGTTCAATTCAATAAATATTTATTGAATCGAGCCATTCAATATGCTAACTACAGAGATACAGAGCTGAGTAAAGATACATTCCCCTTAAGGAGATCATAGTCTCTCAGAGGAGACAGACAAATGAACAAATAAACCAATAGTGCAACCACAGAAGTATAGGTGAGGTACACAGTAAGACAAAGGAGGGAATGAATGATTACCTATAGCCACCTCAAACCCTTTTTGGAGCAAATTAGGTTGTAAATAAATAAAGGGAAATAACCATGGTAGGAGAGGGATGCAGCAGCAGCATTCTCAAAGATGAACGCTATACAGGTAACTAAGGGTGGTTTTGTAATGGTTTATTTCCCAAATACAGGTATTTATTTGAACTGAAGGAAGATGATGATGCATGTAAAAAAGCCCAGCAAACAGGAGCATTTTACCTCTTTCATGGTCTGGCTCCTCTGCTTCAGACTTCAGCACATCAATACCTGGCCCCCCGACATAGCCTGTTAGGTAAGTCCAGAGTGGACCAGTGGTGTTGACCAGCCTGTGGCCACTAAGCAGAATTCAGCCCATAATGAATTCTAAGAAAGATCCTTGAACTTTGGAGTCTAGATTTTTCAAAAAGCTTTTGAGTCTCATGCTTGTATAACTGCTTCTGCCAACTAATAATTTATTTTATGAACTCTAGTTGTCCAGTCAAATATTATTTGGTGATGAAATGAACCACTAATGCCTTAAACCAGGGGTTGGTAAAACTGCTGTCCAAATTGTACCTGCTACCTATTTTGTAAATTAATTTTTATTGGAACATAGCCATACTCATTCATTGACATATTGTTTATAGCTACTTTTGCACTACAGTGCAGAGTTGTGACAGAGACTGTATGACTCACAAAGCCTAAAATATTTAGTATCTCTTTCCAGAAAGTTTGCCTATCTTTGCCTTAGAGCAGTGAATTCCAGCCTCCACTGAGGTATACACTATTATGCTAATTAAGAGTTCTATCATGGCCGGGCAAGGTGACTCACACTTGTAATCCCAGCACTTTGGGAGGCTGAGGCAGGAGGATCACGAGGTCAAGACATTGAGACCAACCTGGCTAACAAGTCTCTACTAAAAAATACAAAAAAATTAGCCGGGCGTGGTGGCGGGCGCCTGTAGACCCAGCTACTTGGGAGGCTGAGGCAGGAGAATGGCATGAACCTGGGAGGCGGAGCTTGCAGTGAGCCGAGATCGCGCCACTGCACTCCAACCTGGGTGACAGAGAGAGACTCTGTCTCAAAAAAAAAAAAGAGTTCCATCATAACTTCATTTTTATTAGAAGGGTCAAGATTAAAAGTGAATTAAATTTGCTTTTAGAACTCTTTTAGCATATATAACTAAAGATATCTAAGCCACTGGAATTTGTCATTCAAAATGCAAACTTTGGCTGGGTTGGGTGGCTCATGCCTGTAACCCCAGCATTTTGGGAGGCTAAAGTCGGTGGAATGCTTGAGCCCAGGAGTTCAAAACCAGCCTAGGCAACATAGTGAGACCCTATCTCTACCCAGGAACAAAAAATTAGTCGAGCCTGGTGGTGTCTCAAAGACAGAAAACAAAATGTGAACTTTCAGTTTTATATGAGTCACTATATACTGACTAACTTCTGTATTGCCAGTGAATTTCCCCCATAGGTTAGAAGTTGGAGTACTTGGATAGGTAGTTTCTAGCAGTGCACAAGAATCTGAGGACTCCATCAGAAGGCACTATACATTATTTAGAGATTTAGCAATGTTTATGTTGTATTATGATTTTTTTTGTGTTATGTTATATTATGAACAAATAAATATGAGTCCGTCATGAACAAGTGTATAGGATTTCTCCCTACACAGCACTCATCTCTTAGAGATTGGCATCTCAGATGAGTATTTTACTCTACTTTGGTCCACAAAAGTAGCACATTCTGGAGGTTAATTACAGAACTGGTTTGGTCTTTAACTGTAGCCTTGAACTCCTGGGCTCAAGAGATCCTCCCACCTCTGCCTTCCAAGTTTTTGGAACTACAGGTGTGCACTTCACTGCACCCAGCTGATTTTATTTTTTGTACAGACAAGGTCTTTCTGTGTTGCCCAGGCTGGTCTCAAACTCCTGGCTTCAAGCGATCCTCCCTGCCCCCCAGCCTTGGTCTCTACCATTTTAAGTGTGACACTTATTTTTTTTTCAATGACTTAATAAGTTAACTATCATGCACCTTACTATCTAGGGGATATTTTCCTTTCATGATACAGTCATAGAGTAATACAATGTTATACAAGAATTCCTTCTTTGGTCTAAAGTCCTCAGATTGCTAAGGAGAAAACAGGCCTGGAAAGGTTAAACGGTTAGACCAAGGTTACATAGCTAATTCGCTGCAGCTGGAAGCCAAGTATACCTACTTTAAGCTGAAGTAGACGATTTTCAGTGAGTCTAATATGGCTGTAGTGATTTAATAGAAACCCTTGTGTTTTGCTTTTCTCCCTTCTGTTTCTTAGAGTTGGAAAGGCTCCTGGGTAAATTTGGACAGGATGCACAAAGAATAGAAGATTCTGTGTTGATTGGATGCTCTGAGCAGCAGGAGGCATGGTTTGCTCTGGATCTAGGTCTGGATAGCTCGTTTTCCATAAGTGGTACATAACATTATTCCTAATGGGTACTTCCCAGTGGTCTTCAGAATTTGGGATTTCACGTAATGGTAAAATTTAAAGGAAAATTTGGGGAATACGAAAGGCTATCAACTTTCTATTTTTTAAAAAAGGACATTAAAAATACTGTCATCTGCTATTATCATTTAAATGAAAATAAAGGATATTTTAATGCCTTCTAAGTTAGGTGATGGGTACATGAATGTTTATGGTATTAGTCTCTGTACCATTATACATTTTATTTATTGAGACAATGTCTTGCTGTCGCCCAGGCTGGAGTGCAGTGGTACAATCACAACTCACTGCAGCCTTGCCCCCCTGGGCTCAAGTAATCCTCCCACCTCAGCCTCCTGAGTAGCTGGGACCATAGGCATGTACTACCATGCCTGGCTAATTTTTAATGGTCTCCTTATGTTGCTCAGGCTGTTCTCAAACTCCTGGGCACAAGCAATCCTCCCTCCTTAGCCTCCCAAAGTGCTAAGATTATAGGTATGAGCCACCACACCTGGCCTACACATTATATATATATATATATATTTTTGTGGCGGAGTTTCACTCTTGTTGCCCAGGCTGGAGTGCAATGGCACAATCTCGGCTCACCGCAGCCTCTACCTCCCGGGTTCAAGCGATTCTCCTGCCTCAGCCTCCCTAGTAGCTGGGATTACAGGCATGTGCCACCACGCCTGGCTAATTTCGTATTTTTAGTAGAGACTGGGTTTCTCTATGTTGATCAGGCTGGTCTCGAACTCCTGACCTCAGGTGATTTGCCTGCCTCAGCCTCCCAAAGTGCTGGGATTACAGGCAGGAGCCACGGCGCCCGGTCACATTTTGTATATTTCAATATTTCATAAGAAATGTTAAAAAAAACTTATGACATCATTCTTATTTCTTTTATGAATACAGGTGAATAAAAATGTTTCCATAGAGTAGCTCTGGGTCCACAGACCTGCAGTTGGGAACCACTTTGCTATTGGCTCATGGCTCCTGTCAGGCTTTCCTTCTGTCTTTAATGGTCTAGGTATAAATGTAGTGATGCTGGGATGAGGTTCAGATAGGAGCCATGAGGTCCCACTTCATCTCTTTTCCAAGGATAAGCTAATGCAAATGTTCTTGTTGCCGCGAAGAAGATCTTGAGACATACTATGTGCTAATGTTTCCCAAACTGGCCTGAATATAAGAATCACCTGGTGCTTGTTAAAAAATAGAGATTGCTGGGCCTCACTCCATGCCAGCTGCTTTAGAATCTCCAGGTAGGGGCTTGAGAATCTTGCTTTTTAAAAAAATTTTATGTATATATTTATTTATTTTGAGATGGAGTTTTGCTGTCACCCAGGCTGGAGTGCAATGGTGCAATCTCGGTTCACTGCAACCTCTGTCTCCTGGGTTCAAGTGATTCTCCTGCCTCAGCCTCCCGAGTAGCTGGGATTACAGGCACCCGCCACCAAGCCTGGCTAAGTTTTGTGTTTTTAGTACAGACAGGGTTTCACCATGTTGGCCAGGCTGGTCTCGAACTCCTGACTTCACGTGATTCACCCTGCTTGGCTTCCCAAAGTGCCGTGCCTGGCCTTTTTTAAATTTTAGAGATGGGGTCTTGCTGGAGAGCAGTGGCTATTCACAGGTGTGATCATAGTGCACTGTATGTAGCCTGGAACTCCTAATGGCCTCAAGCCATCCTCCTGCCCCCCGCCTCCTGAGTAGCTGGGACTACAGGCACACAACCCCACACCCAGCTGAGAACCTGGATATATTTTACTTTCTCCAGTTCAGTCTCAAGAGGCAAGTTTGGGAAACCCTATTTTAACAGGACAGACTGGAGAGAGGCCCTGAAGCAAAGTTTGTCATTGTTTAATTTCATTATCTTTTCTAATTTTCTAGCCTCCTTACACAAACCTGAAATGGAGACAGAGCTCAAGGGGTCTTTCATTGAGCTGAGAAAGGCTCTCTTTCAACTCAATGCAAGGGATGCCTCCATGCTGTCCACGGTAGATTCTGGTTTCTCATTCTGCAGGAAATTTAGTAGAGCACTATGTGTGGGTAAATCCACGTGTAAATCCAAGGCTACAGTGACGTTTGATTTCTTCTTTTGCAGATTCTAGTCCTTTCTACAAACACTGGCAGGACAATGTGCTGTAGGAAGATTGCTTATTCTCCCTTCTTTTGCCCTTGTTTTTGGCAGAACCACTGTCAAGATCATTGTCTCCTAAAGACATGCAGATCTATGGCAATAGGATCTGACAGCCTCATAAACATTTTTAGTGACCCACACAGCATGACATATAGCATCATGTTTTCCCTAAGAGAAATTACTTTACATTGCTTTAATGACTTGCCCTCACAGCTTTAGATTTCACTTGCTAAAGTATTTTGATTGTGCATTTAATTTAAAAAGAAACTTCTAAATATTTTTTTAGTCGCAAAAAATTCCAACTTTACTGGGGAGGAGAACATTTTAGGATGTTCAACTATACTGGGAATGTTTTATTTTTAAGCTGGTTAGTGAATACATGGGTGTTCATTTTATTACCTTATATACTTTATATGTTTTAAATCATAATACATTTAAAAATATGCTTTCTTTTATTCAGATTTCTGATGCTAGAGGAATATGTTCAGTTAGTTTACTTGTCCTAAAATTTAAACAGTAACCATTTAAATTACGTGGGCTGGAAACAGATTGGCATTTCCCTGTGAGTTGTTCCAGATAGTAGGCCCAGTGCTGTTAAAGATGAGCCCCGCATTCTCTACAAATGAAACCAGGCCCATATTTGTGTCCCTAGGCTCAAGCTCTTCTCCGCTGGCATGATGCTCATCAGTTCTGCAGCAGAAGTGGGCAGCCCACCAAGAAGAACGTGGCTGGCAGCAAGCGTGTGTGCCCTTCCAATAATATCATCTATTATCCACAGGTAAGTATTGCTGTAAGAGGACAGTAATCCAAGAAGACTGTGCACTGCTTTGTCCTGGGGAAGAAAGCCTGTGCAGTTCCTTAATTATACATTGCTTTAGCTCATTGGCAGGCCCCCAAGTGCCAGCATCTCAGTTTCCATTCCCCTTTCCTAGATGGCTCCTGTGGTGATCACGCTGGTGTCAGATGGGACCCGATGCCTGCTTGCCCGCCAAAGCTCCTTTCCCAAGGGAATGTATTCTGCCTTGGCAGGTTTTTGTGATATAGGTAAAGAGTTAAAGGGATATACAGGTGACACTGGAAGATACACAATCTTACTAATACAATCTTCTCTGTCTTGTTGCTATGGAGTTTGGATTCCCAAGCACATTCTTTTCTATCATGTCAAGAAAACTGCCTTCTGGCATTATATATATATATAAAATTTCTGGCATTATAAACACACACACACACATATATAAAATTTTTTCCTTTCCTTTTTTTTTTGAGACAGAGTCTCACCCTGTTGTTCAAGCTAGAGTGCAGTGGCACAATCATGGCTCATTGCAGCCTCAACCTTCTGGGCTCAAGCAATGCTCCCACCTCAGCCTCCTGAATAGCTAGGACTACAGACGCAGGCTATCATGCCCGGCTAATTTTTAAAAATTTTTGTAGACACAGGATCTTGCTGTGTTGCCTAGGCCAGTCCTGAACTCCTGGCTTCAAGTGACCTGCCTGCCTTGACCTCCCAATGTGTTGGGATTACAGGTGTGAGCCACACAATTTTTTTAAGCAAATTTTCAAACATAGGAGATTGTTGAAAGAATTATACAGTGAACACCCATGCACACACTACCCAGATTCTATAATTCTTTTTCCTCTTCACATGTAGGCATTTGTTTGTAGGGAGGCCACAAGCTTCGTGCCTCTCATCACAATGACCCCAGATTCCTGTTGGGTGTGTTATAAACAGAGGAGCCATTCTTTAGGCCCCCTGCTCTGAGCACACCCCTAGATTCCATAAATTTTTACTACACTTTATCACAAAGCTGTTCATCTATCCATTAATTAATCTATCTTATTTTTTGATGCACAGATTTAAGATATTAGTACACTTCTTCCTATTTCAGCAGGCATAACATTAGCTAAAATTCAGTATTTATTTACAGGTTGGTTTTTTTCTCTAGTCTATTGGGGTCAAATTTGCAAATGGTGAAAAGTGGAATTTTATGAAAGCTGAGGGCAGTAGTCCCTCCTACTGTCACCCTTACTTTGCATTATAATAACTAACCTAGCAGGCTTAAGCACTGTGGTTCAACACACAGCTCTGGACCTGATTCTTATTGTTGGAATGACTCAGAGTTTTAGGACACTCCCAAGAGCATTTCATTGAAACTTTGGAGCCAGTGTTGTGTGCCTTTCTCAAATGGGCTGTCTGTATCACCTTTCTAGCTACAGGGCTGTCCTGAATTAATCTGAGTGCTTGTAGGTGAAAGTGTGGAAGAGACCATCCGCCGAGAAGTTGCAGAAGAGGTGGGATTGGAGGTGGAAAGCCTGCAGTACTGTGCATCCCAGCACTGGCCCTTTCCTAGTGGCTCACTCATGATTGCTTGCCATGCAACTGTGAAACCAGGGCAAACAGAAGTAAGTTCTTATGTTTCCCTTATGCTGTGATAATTCTTTTGCTTCGTCTAATCTGCTCATCAGCAAGTACTTATTAAGCACTTATCTAGTCCAGCATCATCTAGATTATATAAACATTTGTAAAATATGATTTAGGGCTGAGCACGGTGGCTCATGCCGGTAATCCCAACACTTTGGGAGACTGACGTATAAACATTTGTAAAATATGATTTAGGGCTGAGCACGGTGGCTCATGCCGGTAATCCCAACACTTTGGGAGACTGACGTGTGCGGATCACTTGAGGTCAGGAGTTCAAGACCAGCCTGGCCAACATGGCAAAACCCCATCTCTACTGAAAATACAAAAATTAAGGCTGGGCGCGGGTGGCTCATGCCTGTAATCTGAGCACTTTGGGAGGCTGAGGTAGGTGGATCACAAGGTCAGGTGTTCAAGACCAGCCTGGCCAAGATAGTGAAACCTCATCTCAACTAAAAATACAAAAATTGGTTGGGCGTGGTGGCAGGCACCTGTAGTCCCAGCTACTTGGGAGGCTGAGGCAGGAGAATTGCTTGAACCCAGGAGGTGGAGATTGCGGTGAGCTGAGGTCGAGCCATTGCACTCCAGCCTGGGCAACGGCAAGAATGCATCTCGAAAATAAATAAATAAATAAATTAAATTAAATATGATTTATGCCCTCAAGGAATTTGCAGCCTATTAAAGGAAGCAAATAATCTCCATTCTTCCTTGCATATATGTCAGTCATGAGATAATTTCTTTTCTTTTTTTTGAGACTGAGTCTTACTCTGTCACCCAGCCTGAGTGCTGCAGTGGCACAATCTCAGCTCACTGCAACCTCTGCCTCCTGGGTTCAAGTGATTCTCCTGCTTCAGCAGAGAAGTATATACCCTTGAAATTATCAAACCATCATCACTATCAATGCCATAAACTTATTCATCACCTACAAAAGTGTCCTTCCACCTTTTATTTTTCTCCCACCCCACTATTGTTTTTTTTATTTTGTGGTAAAAGCACTTGACGTGAGATCTATTTTCTTAGCAAATTTTTATGTGTATAATATAGTATTATTAATTGTAGACCTTATGGTATACAGATCTTCAAAACTTATTTTGCATGACTGACACCTTGCACCCTTTGACCAGTGGCCACTCCCGCCATTTTCCCCTCTCTTCAGCTCCTGGCAACCACCACTCTACTCTCTGCTTCTATAAGTTTGCCTATTTTAGATTCCACATATAAGTGAGATCATACAATATTTGTCTTTCTGTGTCTGGCTTATTTCACTTAGCATGTCCTTTGGACCCATCTATCTTGTTGCAAATGCAGGATTTCCTTCCTTTTTAAGGCTGAATAATATTCTATTCTATGTATATACCACATTTTCTTTATCTATTCATCCATTGTGAATAATGCTGCAGTGAACATGGGAGTGCAGATACCTCTTCAAGATCCAGATTTCAGTCCCTTTGGACATATATCCAGAAGTGGGTTGCTAGATCAAAGGGTCATTCTATTTTTAATTTTTTGAGGAACCTCCATATCTTTTTCCATAGTAGGTGCACCAACTTACATTCCCCCCAACAGTATACATGGGTTTCCTTTTCTCTACATCCTTACCAATACCTGCTGTCCTTTGTACTTTTTTAATAGTAGCCATTAAAGAAGGTATAATAGTAGCCATCAAAGAAGGTATGAGGTTTTCATTTGCATTTGCCTGATTATTAGTGATGTTGAGCACCTTTTCACACACCTGTTGGCCATTTGAATATCTTCTTTGGAGAAATGTCTATTTAGATCCTTTGCCCATTTTTAAGTTGGCTTATTTATTTTTTGGTATTAAGTTGTAGGAGTTCCTTAAATATTTTGGATATTAACTCCTTATTAGATATAGGGTCTGCAAATATTTTCTCCCATTCTGCAGGTTGTCTCTTCACTCTGTTGATAGATTCCCTGACTCTGCAGAAGCTTTAGTTTGATAGAATCCCTACTTGTCTATCTTTGCTTTTCTTGCCTGTGCTTTTGGTGTCATATCTAAGAGATTGCTGCTCAGTCTAATGTCTAGAAATTTATTCCTTTATGTTTTCTTCTAAGAGTTTTATTGTTTCAAGTTTTACATTTAAATCTTTAATCCATTTTAAGTTGGTTTTTGTATATGGTGTAAGATAAGGGTCCAATTTTGCACGTGGATATCTGATGTTCCCAACACAGTTTTTTTTTTTTTTTAAGACGGAGTCTGGCTCTGTTGCCCAGGCTGGAGTGCAGTGGCTGGATCTCAGCTCACTGCAAGCCCTGCCTGCCGGGTTCACGCCATTCTCCTGCCTCAGCCTCCCGAGTAGCTGGGAGTACAGGTGCCTGCCACCTCGCCCGGCTAATTTTTTTTGTATTTTTAGTAGAGACGGGGTTTCACCATGTTAGCCAGGATGGTCTCGATCTCCTGACCTCGTGATCCACCCGTCTCGGCCTCCCAAAGTGCTGGGAATACAGGCTTGAGCCACCGCGCCCGGCCCCAACACAGTTTTTATGAGACAATTTATCTTTTATTGTCAGGACTTAAGAGTGTCTTACATATAGTAGGCACACAATCAGGCATCATTTAATGACTGACTGCAGGATTGGTCTTACTGCTCAAGTCAGTTAGGATGCTGGGAACTAAAAATAGAGTCTCACTCTTGTCGCCCAGGCTGGAGTGCAGTGGCACGATCTCAGCTCAGTGCAACCTTTGCCTCCCGGGTTCAAGCAATTCTCCTGCTCAGCCACCTGAGTAGCTAGGATTACAGGTGCCTGCCAGCATGCCTGGCTAATTTTTGTATTTTTATTAGAAACGGGGTTCCACCATGTTGGCCAGGCTGGTCTCAAACTCCTGACCTCAGGTGATCCTTCCACCTCAGCCTCCCAAAGTGCTGGGATTATGGGCATAAGCCACCATGCCTGGCTAGACATTGTCTTATCCAATGTCATCTTGCACTTCCCTGACCGATGGTCTCTGCCTGCCGAAGTTTGCCTATTGTATGTTTTGGTTTTTATAGAATCTTTTATAGAATATCTAATCTATTTCAGCTTCCTCAGCATGAAGTTCACGTTACTTTGCTTCTTGCAAAGATGAGACTATGCTTTTGACTATCGTTAACCCTTATCCTTTAAAAAAAAAAAACAGTGGCTGGGCACGGTGGCTCACGCCTGTAATCCCAGCACTTTGGGAGGCAGGTGGATCACCTGAGGTCAGGAGTTCTAAACCAGCCTGTCCAACACGGTGAAACCCCGTCTCTGCTAAAAATACAAACAAATTAGCTGGGTGTGGTGGTGGGTGCCTGTAATCCCAACTATTCGGGAGGCTGAGGCAGGAGAATCATTTGAACCTGGGAGACGGAGGTTGCAGTGAGCCAAGATCACATCATTGCCCTCCAGCCTGGGCAAAAAGAGCAAAACTCCATCTCAAAAAAAATAAAAATAAAAAAGTAATATTTGTATGTTCTTTTTTAATTGAAAAATTTATACAATCAATAGAGACACAAGGAAAAATAGGTATTATTCATAATTTATTCTCAATGTTAACCACTCTCAACATTTTAGTAGTTGTACTTCCAGGATTTATTTAATATATCTTTTTTTTTTTTTTTTACTATGTTAAAAATATATTTAACTCTCATTTCTTAATTATGCCTCTTTTGCTTCTGGGCAGTATCTAGAACTGACTTTCATCTAACCTGGAGATCCCAGGTATTATCTTCTAAGATTGCTTAGTTCTAGAATCATTTTCTGACCTTTGGCCATAGTATTCTAAATTTTGTAGCTCCTGACCTTACATCCTTTTCTTCCTTATGTCTTTCAGATCCAGGTGAACTTGAGAGAATTAGAGACAGCTGCCTGGTTCAGTCATGATGAGGTAGCCACAGCCCTGAAGAGAAAGGGCCCCTATACTCAGCAACAGAATGGGACTTTCCCATTCTGGCTGCCCCCTAAGTTAGCCATCTCCCACCAACTGATTAAGGAGTGGGTGGAAAAACAGACCTGTTCTTCCCTGCCTGCTTAGCCCAGACCAAGTAACTTAGATCGCTCCTTGGTATTCCTGAGGGACAAACTAGAGATCAGTTGACAAAGAAGTGAAAAAGACAAGCTACAGGACCTCAGAAGGGCAGAGCAGAGGGTGAGCCTACAGTAAGACACTTCTATCAGCAGTGTTAATGGAAGAAATTCCTACCAATGGGCAATCAAAAAAGCCAGTGTGAGAAGAAAACTGATGAGCTGTCAACTGTCAAAACTCAGGGGGAAGGCGGAAGCATTAGTTTGGATGCAGGCCCTTGTTCAGTCATTTTCTCCAAGGCCTTGGAAACAAACATCTTTTGGCATATGGCTTGTTAATGTTGTGTTTACACTAACTGCCAAAATGTGCCTGTTGTAAGTTTGGTGAAAACTTCTTTTATCTTAGTATTGAAAATATATAGCAAGTTTCAAGTCATTACTGAGTTACTTGTTACCCTTACAGAATTAAGAAAAATAGCACAGTATAACATATTTAAATTCATGTACAGGTGCATTCTAGTTACATGTACATGGTAGTTAAATAAAAGTCATAATTAAGTCATTATGACTCAGAGTACTTTATAATAAACCAGATGCCATGAGGCTCTGTTGAGGTAGTAGAATCTCAATGGGACTCCAGAGAGTAAGTCTTTTTTGCTGTTTTCAGCTCTGTCACATGCTCAGTTCATGACCCAGGGAAAAGACTCTCGCTTTGCCATGCCTGTTTTCCTAAATAAAACAGTTGCTGGCATTTGCACATCCACAATGTGTTGATTAACTTTAACAAAGGGATTGGTGGAGATAAACAGATGCCAAACCTGACCTATTTCTTAAACTTTATGGAATAAACTAAATTTAGGATTTCTCATCATTCATATATGATGCCATAAGGGAGAAGAGATTATTTGGGGAAAATAAAATGTCCACACCTTTGTTCTGATGTCTTTTTCTGTTCTATGAATTGAGAAAATTTTACAAGGTGAGAATTTGGGGGTAGGGGAAAGGATCCCAATTGGTGACAATTAAACAATTAAGTCCAGGTTTCAAGTCAGTGGAACAACTGAAGCAATGTGCAGGAGAAATGTTAGAGGTCTTGCTGAAAAGAGGAAATAATCATATCTTCAGAAGATTCTAGGCACTAATTTGTGATTAAAGACACAAGCTCCAGAGACCCTAAGGTTATTTACACGTCAAAGTCCCATACGACTAAGTTCCAAAGTCCCATAGGACTAAAGAGATTCTAGAACTAGAAAAGTTAAAGCACTGAATTTCCTTTTGATCTCAAAAGGTCATTGCTCTCTCCACAGCCAGCAAACCATCATTGCTTTGGGGAAATCAAAGTGCCTTCATCAGGAAATATTGAGGGATAATATGTGATGGGACTTGATTGTCTTGTTAGATTGGCAGCTTGCCTTTACCTGGGCTGAACCCAGCATGCAGAAGGGTAAAGCACTCACAAAAGAGAGGTTCTGAGATTTCTTCATATCTTGCAGTTAGAAGAAAACAGTTCAGGGTCCATGTGTATTACCATCTCCCAATCTTTTCTATCTCTATGTGGGTGTGTTTGTGAGCACATGTGTACACATCCCCAATCTGAAAATACTGATAGAAAGGGGAGTGTGCAGAGTTCCTGGTTATGAGTTTCCCAAACTTACCATGGAGTAACTGTTTGTTTTTTGATTAATGTGTTTTTGGGAAAGAAAAGATGAGAGTGGCTAGCAGCAGGAGCTGCAACATTGAACTTTGCTTCTCAGTAGTGAGTGGGAAAAGAACTTTGCTGTAGAACTCCAAGGGTATCTGAAAGCTGAGGCAGAAAAGAACAGGCTTGGGATACTGAAAATGGCAGATAAATAAAAGAAACTTTGGTACAGGGCCTACCTGACCTGAGAATATATATGTGGACAATGAATTATGAAAGTGCTAAGGATAAATATAACTCATCTGGGTCCACGATGCAGAATAGAAAAACAGGTGAAAGTCAGTCAGCCCTGGTAACCAGAATTTTAAAAATTTTCATTTGTATTTTTGCCTGTCTATCACCCCTTCTCTACCCAATATTTAATCCTCAATGAAGATAAACCTAATGTACCACAAGTGCAATGGGGGGAAACCTTTTTCTCATAGTTGAGCTGGGATGGCATTTTGGACCCCATTTTTAACATGAGAAATGTAGCTTCAAAACAAACAATAAAAATATATTTAAAATAATTATTATTTAAAATGTTAAAATGTTGCACAATATCATCTGATGTGTTACTTTAGTCAATGTGTAACACTTACCCTCTTCCTTAGCTCACTTCAGTGAACACTAGGAAGAGAAAGGATTGGAGTGGGGTATGGTATATTTAGTATTTATTTATTTATTTATTTTTGAGACGGAGTTTCGCTCTTGTCGCTTGGGCTGGAGTGCAATGGTGCAATCTTGGCTCACTGCAACCCCCGGCTCCCGGATTCAAGCTATTCTCCTGCCTCAGCCTCCCAAGTAGCTGGGATTACAGGCACCCACCACCACGCCCAGCCATATTTAGTTTTTATTAGTTTGTGATAGTAAGTTCTCAAATGAGAACTCTACTACACCATTCTCCTAATTCCTCCCTTGGTCACTGGAGAGGGAACAGTATGAATCTACTTCCATTGTTTTTACTTGGATAGGGTAAGATATAGTAAGGGCATCTCTCTGCTGCATGCGATAATAAAGAAGAATCCAGAGACCTAGATTATAAAAACATGGTCAATATATGGAGCTGTCTGTAGAGAAGACTTTTTTTTTTGCTTTTAATGGTGAATTTTATGATATATAGATAATGATTTATTTTAGGAGGAATATGAGAATCATTTTAAGAAACATTTCATCTTAGCAATAGATATATCAGCTATATTAAATATCAAACCAATTAATTAATTAAAACAATTAAGTACAGTATCAGGTATGAAATGTCCAAAATAGGCAAATCCATAGAGACAGAAAGTAGACTAGTGGTTTCTAGGGGCTGGGAGTAGAAGGGAATGAGAGACTATTAGTGAGTATGGGGTTTCTAATATTCTAGAATTAGATGGTGGTGATGGTTGCACAATTTTGTAAATATACTAAAAACCCCTGAATTGTATAAAGGGTAAATTTTTTGGTATGTGACTTATATCTCAATATAGCTGTTATTTACAAGTAAATAAGTTCTATATCTTGCTTCAGGTACATACATACATGTAAAAATTCACTGACTGTACACTCAAGATTTGTGCACTTAACCATATGCATGTTATGCCACATTAAAAAAACTGAAAAGAAAAAGTGAATGAGTTATCAAATCCAAATCTGTCAGCTTGAAATTTTGATCTGAGGATGAATAGCAGTAAGGGAGAAATTTAAATATTTAGAATTACTCCAAGGGTATATTGTGGTAGGCCATGTCCTTAGCACAAAGTGTGTGAATTTCATCTCAAAGTTGTCTAGGGGTTAGATTCTACCCTGCCGAGTTCAAAACCTGTGTGTAACCCACAGCTGAGATCACAAAGACTTGTGCCAAGAGGGCCACAATTCTCATGTAGGAGAAGTCAATCTGTAAAACTTGTAATGAAGAAACATTTTTACTAAATGAGTAATCTAAACTAGAAATGAACAGAATCATATTCAATATTTATTTAAAAAGAGAAAAGAGAAGCTAAATGTGCTGGTTAATTTTTCGTTGGCTTACTTGTTGGTCTGTGATCGGTGTTGTCAGGCAGCTGCACTCCCATGCTTTGTAAAAGATTGGAAGCGGGTCCTGCCAGTCCAGCTTGGGAGCTATAGGATTCCAATATATTTGAAACCAGGTTCAGGTCCACATCTACTGGTGCCATAACAGATTCTCCTGTATCAGAATCTTCCTGATCTGAATTGTTGTCAGTAGTCTGGGATACAGGTTCCTTATTCATGGAGGGAAAAGAAAATTATGGGATAATATATCATTAGGTTGCATGGTGGTTACAATAAAAAGATAACTAAGCCACAATGTAAATTTGCATTCCAAATTAAAAAGGAAACTTCTTATCCTTGGTGATATAAACTGAAAATGAAGTCTAATAAGTTATATGGCTTAGCACAGATATTAACACTTGGTTCTAAAGATTATAAGACACTTCTCTCCAGGAAAGATTCCTGCAAATCAAATAAATCGCATGTCTATTTTGAAATAGCTCAAGGGCTAACAGAATTAAGAAGGTACATTTATAACTTGTCTAAGAGTCTTAAAAGAAAGAAACATAAAAGTGAATATTAAATGAAATAATAATGTAAATTTTCTTCAAAATGAAAGAAGCGAGTGTTCCTTTCTTTCCCAGTGAAAAAGCTTAAAAATGAAAACACAAGGCTTTGTGGTTGCAACCACAAAGACTCTAAATTGTTAGTTGGGCCTCTGATTCCACAAGCTGGGGAAAGGATTTGAAAGATTACAACTCGATAGACTTTTATGTCCTTGCTACCCAAAGTGTAGTCCATGGAGCAGCAGAATCTCCATCGCTTGGGGCTTATTAGAAATGGAAAATCTCAGCTGGGAGTGGTGGCTCACACCTGTAATCCCAGCACTTTGGGAGGCTGAGGTGGGTGGATCACTTGAGGTCAGGAGTTTGAGAGACCAGCCGCGCAGCCTGGCCAACTGTCCTACTAACCAACTAGTTTTAAAACACGGGCTGGCCTGGGCGCGGTGGCTCACGCCTTGGTAATTCTAACACTTGGGAAGGCCAGCAGGTGGATTCACCTGAGTCAGGAGTTTGGAGACCAGCCTGGGACAACATAGCAAAAACTGCCGTCTCTACTAAAAAAAAAAATACAAAAAACTAGCCAGCGTGTGGTGGTACGTGCTGTAATCCCCAGCTACCTCGGGAGACTGAGACATGAGAATTGCTGAACCCAGGAGGCAGAGTTGCAGATGAGCAGAGATCGTCCACTGCATTCTAGCCTGGCCAACAAGAGGGAGACTGCTCAAAAACACCACCACATAACAAAAAACCCAACAAAAAACATGCTGTCTGAATCCATAATAAATCCCCCATAATATGTTTCTTTACTACAGGAAAGAAAAGGTGCCTTGGTTGTCAAACACCACGCTGTATAATTTACAGAAACCAGGGTTTAGCTGGAAGAAATGGAAAACACTGGGTTATATATGCTGGGAGCAGAGGACTTCAGCAAGACATTCCAGAAATATTTGCTCCGGCTGAAACAGAAAGCTAGTACTGACAAAGGATGAGTATCTGTGAAGCACTGGGAGATGGCTGGTCCAAATTCTCCATGGGTGATTCCTCCCTCCCGGACAGATGCCTCTGACTGGCTAGACTCGACTGGATAAAGGAAGACAAAAATCACATGAGGGTGCCAACTCTGCTCCTTAGAGGCAGGCTGGGTTGGCCCCTCACTTCTCACACATTGAGCTTGCAAAGAAACTTCCCATATTTTGGGTGGGGAAAACTGTAGACTATCCAGGACAAAAGGAGACCTTTCTCACTCTTCTGCTTTCTCCAGTGTAAGTTTCCAACTTTTCCCAACAGCTCCTCGAGCCTACATTTCCCTACAGTCCTACAACCAGATCTGTGGACCAGTCAGAAACTAGCCTCCCTGGTATACAAACTTGTCCGTCTTCTGGTGTGTGTGGTGGGGGGGTGTGGTGTGTATGTATGTATGTATGTATAAAAGATTCAGATGGGTGGAAGGTAGGTTCTGCTCTTTTGTTTCTGTTTGGCCTCACAAAAGGGGAAAATAACGGAAATTAGATGGCAACCTCTCATGAGCTGGGAATAATTAAAAGCCAACATCTTTTCGGGTAAGGGAAAAAAGACTACAGAAGAAAATACTCCAGAATAAACAGCTTATTTTCCCTTTCTAATCCTTCGCTAGAGTCACTTCCCTTAAGTTTCAAGCTTTTCCCTCCCTGCTATTCAATAAAACCAAATACTGTATAACAGTAATTCATAGGCCAAAGAATATCAGGTCTTAGATAAACCTTCTGGACCTTGGAAAGGTAACTTACATGTTTGCCCAAGGACAGCGGAAACAAAGAGGGAGTGCCACAGCATACATATGTGATGCCAAGGCTTTACTGCAGCCACTTCAACTGCCGACCCCA